AATTCATCACATGACGCCAAATGCCCTGCAATGACGTCATCTTGACAACACCTTTCAATGTACATTTTGTCATTGTGGTCTTAGTTCGAACCAAGTTTAAGGTCAATTCGATAGTAGGGAAGTGTGCGCTTTTGGAAGCAGAATAAAAATTTTAATGTTAAAAGAAATCATAAAAAAATCAAACGATGACGTCATCGTGACGTTACCTCGGCTGGTTGCCGAAACAGCCAATGAACATGTTAGGGGTTTAAGTCCCTCCAACAAAAGGCATGTCCACTTTGCCAAAATCGTCTGAAAAGATTCTGGAGACCAGGCGCGTAGATGTTTCTGAAACGGCTACGACTGTCGACGTTAGCGCGTCAGTGGCAAAGGCCGAATTATAGCCATTATATCTGATCTGGACACGTCATAAGTTGCATAATATAATTTAGTTTCTTGCCTTGCCTAACATTATTTTGGCTCCATAGGCGGCGGAACGCTTTTTTAAACTGGGGGGGGGGGGGGGCTCAACACCAAAAAGGGGCACTTGCTCAGAAAAAAAGGGCACCTTCCGTCGGTGTGAAAGTGCACAGAGTAAAAGAATATAAGGTTAAGGTTAAGGGGACGAACAGGAGCGGAGTGCCCATCTCTCTTTCGAAGCGATTGGGCCAGAAGAAAATTGAGTTTCAAAGTTACACAAATGTATTATTATCAGTGTGCCACGAATCGAATGTACATGGCATTTGATGTACATGTACAGGGTGAGTCGAAAAGAAAATTGCCCAAAATAATGATTTTTTTTCCTTTAAAAGCCATCAAATTTGAAACACCAATAAAGTTTGAAAAGAGCATCTTATTCCACTAATCTAAGACATTATTGCTGAAATTGATCCATGCTATCATGAGTTATGAACGTTTTACTTAAAGAACCATTTTTTTTTATAGCTGTCCATGGAATGGCATTAGAAGTTATTAAGCTGGGTGAGTATTACATATTACGCGTCCGCGTCTCATTATACTCAATTGACATTCATCGCCAAATAGTCAGTGGACAGCCGAGTTTTGTGATATCTTTATTGAAATATACATAACTTGGGAATAGAGTATGCAAAATACGTGAAATTTTCACAGTTAAAAGTCAATACGTCAATAAGATGTACTTTATTCTTATGTTTTGTGTGTGGGGGGGTGTGTGTGTGTGTGTGAATGGTGCAAACCAAATATTTGTAAAATATATTTCAAATTGGGTATTTTTCTTTTTGACTTACCCTGTACATGTTGTGAAATTTTACCAAATTTGGCTAACGAACGATGACCAGTGGTTATGCCTTTTGGGGTGTTAACAGCGCGAAATAACTGTCAGGGTTTTCAAGATCCAAGTGTTTTATTAAAGGCAAGGATGTCTTGAAGTGCTTCGGGAAGAGCTTCTACGAGATCACGTGCAATCATCTCAAACCTTGGCAGAAAGCCTTGTTTAGTAATCTCCCGCACGGTAGTGTAGTACGAAAAATGTACGACAAAGGCCCTTCCTACAACGCAGTTGGGATTCTTGACTTTGCCGGAGTAGATGACTGTTAACCATAGTTCCTCGCTTCCACGAATTGGTCCACTTTTCAACATGGCTTTCATGTCAATGAGGTTTGAATCCATTAAGAGGAAGTTGATGCTGAAGCGAGCTCTTTCAGGGGTCAGGTACCGTCCGTCATATAGTAATTTCTCCAGTGATTTGTTCTCGTAGTGATAGAAGAATGCCTCCAGTGCCACCACAGCACAATCCGCTGATTTCCAGCCGCACTTTGGGAGACCTTCACGGCTGAACTCAAATTTCAGCTTCTTTGGGTTGATAGTCTCGTTGTCAAAGATACCCATCTCTTGGTGGATATAGCTACTGCGCCAGTTAGCACCTCCTGTGTTGGCGAAATGAATGAAGCACTCGGAGGTGTTCTGTTGCTCAATCAGCTGCCTGAAGGCGCCGGGGTGGATGTACACGATGTCGTCGTCCATCTTGAAGTACTTTCTCTCTGAGTGCCTCGCCATCTCATCGAAAATCTCGTACACAAATCTGCCAAATATAGCAACAGTCACCTTTTTGTTTATGCGATTGCGAAATCGGAGCTCAAAAACCTCCTCCTGCAGAACTTTGTTGGCGGTTTTAGTCAACTCGGTCAGTTTGGAGAGGGTTTGCTTGTCATACATCACCATATAGTAGTGGACCTTGTCCAGAACTCCACCATTCTTCCTCAAGTTGCGATAGATGTAAGCAAAATTAATACGGAGGTATTTCCAGCGTCCGGTGATAATACAAAGGATGTTTTCAGAGTTTGTTTTTTGGGCAAAGCTGACCTGCGTCTTCAGTAGCGGCTGCACTTCAATCCGTTTAGGTTGCACTTGCACTGGCAACGGTTGCTTCCTTACTGTCGATTCCAGCAGACGATTGAAGCAGCCGACCATTGTGCATGTAATTAATATGAAAATCAGCAAAGCTTTGCCGGACTGTATGAGAGCATTTTTACCAATTTTGAATCTTGCTGGCATTTGCTTTCGGCCAGCCATGTTCACGGCATAAGGCCTCATCACTGCAGTTCCACTGATTAGCTTGTTTGAAACAAGTTGTTTCTTTGAATCTCTGTGCTGGGTTTGCGTGGTAATTCCGTCATCCACCAGGTTGGTAGTGATACTATAGAGGGGAACATAGGACACTGGGTATCTATTTGTGCGGTGACCTGTGAAGTACGATGATGTCATCAAATTTGGTTATCACAGTGCAGTATTAAAGGGCTTGGAAAATAAAACAAAACATACACGAAGGAATTTACTAAATGTAAGAAAGCAGCCTTGCATCAACTTGGATACGATGTCATGCATAATGATACAATTCTTTTTTCCAGAATTAAATGGAACAAAAATGGAGATAAAAATACAGGGTTCCCAACTTTTCAGTACGGTAGAAACGCTGTAAGAGCAAAAGTATATTGTAAACAAAATAATGAAATAAATTGTCTTTATAATCTCAAGAAACTTTTTCTAAAAAAGTCGTATGAAAGTGGCCAGGAATCGCCTTAGATTGCACCACAGAGCATTCATATTCCAAAACTTTTAGGAGCCCTGCAACGCTAAAAGGGCCGGGTTGGAATCCGCTCCCCTGCCCCCTCAACGAATTCAATGCCTCAGACTACAATGCCACAGAATTCCACACGCATGAATAGTTGGCAGAAAATATATGGAATGTGAGACAACTGAAGTGAATACCTGTCTTTTATCGGCTTCCGGAGAGACTAGGAAGGCACAATACCGCAATGAATTGTGGCGCCATCGGAGTTACGCAGATGATGGGTAATGGACCCCAAAGCAATTAACTTATCATTGTAGCAAATTTGACTATTGCATTGAAAGTTGTTGACAATTTTTCATTGTTTTTTTCAATAAGGATCCTGGCTAATACCTTTCCCCTGAAGGTTACTTTTGTCGTTTTAAAGCTTCGTTGACGCAGTTCATTGTTGGCATCTGTGCCCGAACTTCACAGATATACGCAATAATAATACACTGACAAGTTCATCCTGCGGTTACACCCAATCATCGATTCTCAGCCTTAGACTGGCAATATGGCACCAGCTGTCAATGAAACCAGCAATGCTTACTCGTCATGGCATGGGCCTTATTCACGAGTTGGCCATTTTTGTCGAGTTCCCTATTTCATTAATTATTAATAGTGTAATGAATGGCGCCAGACTATTTATGCAGGCACAATGCAGCTTTATTTTATGTCATTTTTTGGGGTTAAATATGGATTTAAACATTGGGGAATGTTAAATGACAAATTTCAAATTATTCATTGAAGCAGACTGGAATTAACTTGCTTTCATATCTATTCGCAAATTCAAAACATTAAGATTTTACCTAACTTTCAATCCAATATGGCCGACTCGAATAAGGCTCATTGTTTAATTAATCACTTCCAACACACGTATATCCCAAAGTTAAGATACAGACAACCTGGGACAGTAGGCATATGGAAGAAACAGTATACAAATATAAAATGGTTTGAGGGTGGATAGTCGATATTCGCTCCCCGAGGTATTGGAAGTTGACAAACTAGCTAGTTCCCGAGGCGAAGCCGAGGGAACTAGCTAGTTTGTCAACTTCCAATACCAAGGGGAGCTAATATCGGCTGACCATCCGAAATAAACCATATTATATTTGTTTTACTATACCTCATACATATCAGAACCGATTTGGGGGTTTTTTTTCGTTTCATAAAGGAACCTCAAACAATTTTTTTTTTTTAACTTGTCCAGTTCACCAAAAGAATCGTGTTGCTCAACTTCACTAGTTCAGTTCGTTTACCATACAGTGCAGATGTAAATACAGTAGCTTGTGTACAATATTTATGCTTGTGTATCCAGTAGTTTCGTTTGAATATAAAAGCTGGGGTTCATGTTTTACCCTCTGCAAGTTTTTCCTCATAAAAACGCAGTAGACCGATACAATATCCTTCCCTTGCCCCAAATTTGCCATCTACCGATCATAAAGATGCATTTGGTCCTTAAATCTTTTATATTTACCATTCCCTGTATAAAACAAATAACACTGCAAATATAACTTAGAGCTACATCGTTTGCTGAGTTAGAACTATTTTTTTGGCTAGTTAAGTTGTGAATATTTCGTCGATCGTACCACGATCTGACCTATCTGAATTTTTGACGAATTTGGGTTTTTAGCATATTCTGGTTATGCATGATGAAATCTTTATTTTCTGAAAATTTCAAATTCATAAGTGGCCTAATTAGCTAATTAAGCTGATTCAGCTAATTAAAAATGTTGACCTATCGCTACAAAATGCTAAATTATCATTTTCACGAACTGACGCATCGAGATAGGTCACTTCGTGAAACGCGTAAACAACGCTGTCAGTTTTCCACGAAGTGACTTATAGAGTCTGGTACCTGGACTTAATGTGGCCCCTATCACTTTCTTATGAAATTGAGTTACCAGGGTCCAGTCTTTAGCGTTATCAAAAACAATGGCGGCGTACACATGTCGTTTGATGGCTGAACGAAACTAGCAAGTTTCAACCGAGTTTCTGATTCTGTAAACGTCTGTAAGTATTGTTACGAACCCAGAATGCTTGATTACGGAAATCTAGCGCCCTCTGGATCACTCTGTCCATGAAGTACACAATCTTCTTGTTGTCTTTTATAGTTCCTGTATTTTACCTAATTATCGTAAATTGCCAACTTGCACTTTCATTCCCAGGGTCTCTTACCAAGCACAGCGCATGATGCAATACCACGCGCGCTACTGTATGCATTATTCATGTAGCGATGTACATGCGCGCGACTGACCACACCTCCCTTCGCCCCAGCGAGCTAAGTTCCTTTCCCCATAGCATGCGTGCTTTGGCGATCTCCGAGAGACTGCTCAGCGGCACGCAGCATTTCTCTCCCCCGTGCGTTACCCATGAACACTAACCGGAGTTCACGGTCCAGTTTTCTAGTCCCGTACTTAGCTCGAGGGAATGGAATGTTACCTTGCGTGGTCGCGTAGCTGGGCGTGGTAAGACATCCTGTGATGTAAATAACCTGTGACAGTACATAGCTTGTCACTCACTCCATCAAGGTTGCTCGAGATGTTGTGTAAACACTTTTGCACTCTGATCTAACTATTTGCACACATCTCTCTCTGTATTTGCACACTTCTCTCTCCATGTTTTCCCTTTGTAAATGCACACGTTTCTAGTCTCTTGCACTAGGCACTCTTAGTAAATCATGTGACTAGTCATGTGACCCTTAGACATGGAAGATTACTATTGGTTAATTCCTAAATCAGTGCTCATGCATTATTTAATCCCGAGACTTCTACTGCCTATAAATACCGGAGGTTTTCCTCACTTTCGGCAGTGCGGCGAACCACGAAACCAATGTAGTGCGACCGAACCCTAAACCCAAAGTTGTGCGGCGATCTTATATGTTGTGCGGTAATCGTATGATGTGCGACGAACTCGACTCTGACAGACCGATTGTTGTGCGACTCTTGTCACTACGAAGTATCGGCCTCCCTCGGTGGTTGAGGCGCGGTGAAGTAATAGTGCAATCACTAGTACTAGTGTTATTATGAAGCATCCTTCTCCTAGATCCCTCGAGGAGTGTGTAGAAGCTGGTGAAATAGTAATACACTAGTCCCAATGGTGCTGTGCGGTTTCGAATGGCCATTGGACTGCTAGTCTTAGCTTGAACATGTTGTGCGGTTGTCTGGTGTTCTAGCCCAGCCAGAGCTAGTTCATCCCCGTCACCACAGCGGACCGCTCCCGATGTGGTCAGCCGGCTCCCCGTAGCCATTCCCCCCGTAGTTCAGCTATGCTAGCCCGGTCTTGTCATAAACACTATCCTTGGTGCGTAGTGCCTCGATTGACCTTGGATACCCGATACGCCACATGCACACTTTGGTTCGAACTGTAGTGCGGCCTGGTACACTTGCTGGCCCCGTCCAGTTACCGTTGCCTCCCGGTCACCGTAGCGGACCGCTCCCGCTTCGGTCTGGCCGTCGATAACCCGTACCGTGCCGGTGCCCACTCAGTTCGTATTGGTTGACATGGTTTTGCCATAGTACATAGTACATGTATAGACTTTGTAGACACCAACCTGTTATCTCTATAACGCTACCAAAGACTATCAAAAGGAGAAACCTTATAGGTTGATGAAATCTAACAAAGTTATGTAAAGTGAAGAGATGAATAAATCAGTGTATTGACATGTGTGATTGTCACCCCAAAGCTCTGTTTCCCTCCAACTTATTGAATTATTGTTGACTCTAATAATGTTTCATGAACTGCTATTAGGGAACGCAACAGTATATTCCTTCTGTATTTTGATACTCGTATTGCAATATGTTCGTGTTGGGCTTTGTCTAAATACATGTTTTGCAGAGACTCGTGTGTATAATAGCCCAAAATCCTACACTCATTAGCCTATTGGCGTACTGTAGTGTAGACGGTATAGTGGGTAGTTTAATCAGTCAGAATAACACTTGAGTGGGGTTCGATTCCGAACTAATGCTTTTTAATGACATCTCGGTTGATATTTACGTTGATTCACTGACTGTCCTTTCGGGAAAATATTTATTCAATAAAAGGGCCAAACTAAGGTTGCTTTTTGAATATTATGATTCGTGATTGGTTTGGTTTGTTTGTGTTACAGAATGTGGATGTCTCAGTGGTTAATTGCAGCCAAAAATTTATACAGATCACCATTCGTCTACATAATTGAATGAAGTTTTGAAAACGCTTCGTTGAAAGGAAAGTGATCGATTCCTGGAGCATGAATGTAAGCAATTTTTTAACATAAAGGTTATACTTTTGCTGCTTATTATTTTGGTTTTATACTGCCCGGCTCAGATCAAAAAAAGCATTGCGTCTGTTCTTCGTTTTTACGTTTTGTGCTTCGTTTCTCTCTTTTTAAATGTTGATTTAGTACTCCAGTCTTGCTACAATTCTAAAGTCAATGCAAATAACAAAGAGAATATAAATGGGGTGAACTGCAAATTCAGTTGCTATGATTTGTTTTAGTTCATATTGCAAAACATGTGAAAATCTAAAAAAAAAGACACAGACTGCAAGGTTAGAGACACCAGACATTTAACACATTCTGAATGATTTATCAATAATTCCCTTCAACAAACTGTAATTGTTTTATATTGATTTTCCATGTCGACTATATTGTTGCGTTCCCTAATAGCAGTTCATGAAACATTATTAGAGTCAACAATAATTCAATAAGTTGGAGGGAAACAGAGATTTGGGGTGACAGTCACACATGTCAATACACTGATTTATTCATCTCTTCACTTTACATAACTTTGTTAGATTTCATCAACCTATAGGGTTTCTGCTTTTGATAGTCTTTGGTAGCGTTATAGAGATAACAGGTTGGTGTCTACAAAGTCTATACATGTACTATGTACTATGTACTATGGCAAAACCATGTCAACCAATACGAACTGAGTGGGCACCGGCACGGTACGGGTTATCGACGGCCAGACCGAAGCGGGAGCGGTCCGCTACGGTGCCGGTGACCGGGAGGCAACGGTAACTGGACGGGGCCAGCAAGTGTACCAGGCCGCACTACAGTTCGAACCAAAGTGTGCATGTGGCGTATCGGGTATCCAAGGTCAATCGAGGCACTATGCACCAAGGATAGTGTTTATGACAAGACCGGGCTAGCATAGCTGAACTACGGGGGGAATGGCTACGGGGAGCCGGCTGACCACATCGGGAGCGGTCCGCTGTGGTGACGGGGATGAACTAGCTCTGGCTGGGCTAGAACACCAGACAACCGCACAACATGTTCAAGCTAAGACTAGCAGTCCAATGGCCATTCGAAACCGCACAGCACCATTGGGACTAGTGTATTACTATTTCACCAGCTTCTACACACTCCTCGAGGGATCTAGGAGAAGGATGCTTCATAATAACACTAGTACTAGTGATTGCACTATTACTTCACCGCGCCTCAACCACCGAGGGAGGCCGATGCTTCGTAGTGACAAGAGTCGCACAACAATCGGTCTGTCAGAGTCGAGTTCGTCGCACATCATACGATTTACCGCACAACATATAAGTTCGCCGCACAACTTTGGGTTTAGGGTTCGTTCGCACTACATTGGTTTCGTGGTTCGCCGCACTGCCGAAAGTGAGGAAAACCTCCGGTATTTATAGGCAGTAGAAGTCTCGGGATTAAATAATGCATGAGCACTGATTTAGGAATTAACCAATAGTAATCTTCCATGTCTAAGGGTCACATGACTAGTCACATGGTTTACTAAGAGTGCCTAGTGCAAGAGACTAGAAACGTGTGCATTTACATAAGGAAAAACATGGAGAGAGAAGTGTGCAAATACAGAGATAGATGTGTGCAAATAGTTAGATCAGAGTGCAAAAGTGTTTACGCAACATCTCGAGCAACCTTGATGGAGTGAGTGACAAGCTAAAAGGTTACTGTGTCACAGGTTATTGACACCGCAGGATGTCTTACCACGCCCAGCTACGCGACCACGCAAGGTAACATTCCATTCCCTCGAGCTAAGTACGGGACTGGAAAACTGGACCGAGAACTCCAGTTAGTGTTCATGGGTAACACACGGGGGAGAGAAATGCTCCGTGCCGCTGAGCAGTCTCTCGGAGAACGCCAAAGCACGCATGCTATGGGGAAAGGAACTTAGCTCGCTGGGGCAAAGGGAGGTGTGGTCAGTCGCGCACATGTACATCGCTACATGAATAATGCATGCAGTAGCGCGCGTGGTATTGCATCATGCGCTGTGCTTGGTAAGAGACCCTGGGAATAAAAGTGCAAGTTGGCAATTTACGATAATTAGGTAAAATAAGGGAACAGCTAAAGACAACAAGAAGATTGTGTACTTCATGGACAGAGTGAATCCAGAGGGCGCTAGATTTCCATAATCAAGCATTCTGGGTTCGTAACAATATTAAAAGAAGAGATTCTGAATTTAAATTAATAAAAAAGTATTGATTACTGAATGCATGAACCACCTGCCACAGTCTGCCTCGGAATGTAACGGGAAAATGCTCAGCCTTAAAACAAAGGGCGACTACTGATTGCCGATAAAATGTTGAGTGAATGTATTTCTATTCTTTTTTGTGTGTATTACTCCAGATTTTCGATGTGTTGTGCTTGTAACTCCACAATCTTTGAACCAGGAGCTGTTCCTTAGCCGTCACTGTTATCACCTTTGATCTACATCCTTCACTAATGCCAGACTTATCTTGAAATATTAAGAGATACCTCTTTTATTGTCAGTTCTCGCACTATTTCATTTATGCACCTATAGTAAAACTAAAAACTAAAAACAGTAATTAAGAACAAATAAAGGAAATTCATTGCTAAGAACGTTTCAAGTAAAGCCCTTATTTTTAAATTTGAAAGATTGCTGAGAACAACTCTCTGCAATGCCTCTCTGTTGAACCCTTTACAACAGACCTGCATCATGCTTTCGTTTTGATTATGGTCAGTCCCAGTTCAAACATCAAGGCAGTACATGTCTTTCTACATAATTAATTTGTGTTTCGATTTACTTTTTTCTATCCCTTGAGTGGCCCTTAAATATGGCCTGTTCTGATAGTCGATTCTCAAAAAAACCAAAATCTTCATTGTATTAACGCGACTAAACATCCTATTTACATTCAATTTTGACGTTTTGAGCATTGTTAATTAAAATGCAGCCGATTTTTTTTAAATGTATGTCATTATGTATGTATGTCATTGAGATATATCATATTTTTTTAAGGGGGAGGCTTTTACAAAGTATCTGCAGAAAACTGCTGTTTTTAGGGAATAATAGGTTTAAATAATGAGAAAGCACACTTTGAAGAATAAAAAAAATAGAAAACAAAGATTTGAAGATTATGAGAGTGTACATGTACGTTTATCGTTCTGTTTCAGTGTAACTTGAACTTGTGAGTCTTGTGTAAACAAAATACCTGTTTTGTCCACGGATTTTATTTCTTGATTTTTTTACAGAATAAGAATAACAAAATAATGGAATAAAAGTACACCTTTACAATGAATTCGTTCAAGAATTATTACTAGGAGGTATACACAATGTATTCAACAAGTTTCTATGCACCCCGTATATATTTCCTTCACTATAACAGCGTTTTAATTTGTAAGAGCTTATTAATCTCTAATAACAATAATGTTAATATAAAAAACAACAGATTGCAACGAACCTCCATATGACTTAACGTGAAGAGGTTCGCGCGCGCGCATGCGCATATGACATAAGTCACTATCAGCTACAGAGAAATCGAAATTGTTCGTTTCTCGAAGTGACTTATCTGGATAGGTCGCCGTTCGCGCGCATGAAAAATGAAAATTAAATTTTCACGAAGTGACCTATCTAGATTGGTCGCCGTTCGCGCGCATGAAATATGAAAATGAAATTTTCACGAAGTGACTTATGGATTTCGCGCCTATTTTTCACCTGGTGATGATGAGTTTTTGCCTTAGAAACATTTTAAAATCATAATTCAACTATCCAACTTTATTATATATAAAAACTGAGTCAACAAAAATTAGTGTTCTGGCTGAAAGAGTGGATGCAAAATAGGCCCAACTTCAAACGCGTTTTTTTCGAAATGGCAAAAACTGAGATAGGTCAGATCGTGGTACGATCGACGATTTGAGTAGTGAGTAGGGTCTTCATCGGACAAGACAAAATAATTGTATGCATAATGCACAAAGACAATGGACTCATTAGCATATCAATGAAACCAATTAGCATATCGATGGATGATGTTAGCATAATAAAAGAGCGCATGGGCGTGTGTAAGTTTTACCGGACAAGGGATGGGTCTAAAAAATGTATTGGACAAAGGGGAAACCCATCCCCTAGATGGAATATTGGACAGAGGAAGACTGGAACTGGAATAGTGGACAAGGGGAAAACATGAACTGAAATATTGGACAAAGGGGGCAGCCCATCCCCTAGATGGAATAGCGGACAGAGGAAGACCTGAACCAGAATAGCGGACAAAGGGAGACTTGAACTGGAGTAGAGGACAAAGATGAATGTCAAACGTTTGAAATGACCAAGACTATCATATGTATTCATTCAAAGCAGTATGCAAACAGTGAATAATAAAAGCAAAATGCAGGCCACACCAACAGAGTGCCAATTAAGCCGACTAGCTGGAAATCTTGTGAAAAAATGTTTTTACTCTGGTAAAAATGGAGAGTGTGAGCGACCTTGGGAGAACTTAATGATGAATCTCGGTCTATCAAGAGCCGCTATGTATAGACATTTAGAGGAAAACAAATTTTGTGAATGGGGGCAATGTTTTAACGCACTTATAGAGTGGAAACGACGCGAATATAAAAATGCCACGATTGAACGATTATTAAATGCCTGTCGATTTTGCGGTATTGATCATAACGCTTACAATTTTTTGCTGCAGTTAACCATTACCCTTCCCCCCTTCCAAAAAAGAAAGAAAGAAAGTAACAATCATGATTGTCTAATTGAAGAATTTATCTTTTAGTAAATTATTATCGAGTACGGCGAACATCGTCTAGAATGGAACAACCCTTAAGATTTGTTGCGAATGACTGATCCCGGTAGTCCATTGTGCAATCCACACGGACAAGTTCGTGTACGTGTACAGACATACAAGAGTTTCTTCTAGTCGAGTTTGAAAAAAGTTTGAAAAATTAATTTATGTATTTGTAGTAAACAAACACTCACCGGTGAACAGCGTACTTGCACGGTATAGTCCGATGATTGTTTTAACCATGGAGGAATTGTGTTAATAATAGATCAGAGAGCTAATGAATCCATGCGTTCTAGATCTATACGGAGACCGATGGTCGATCACCCCTCGATGACCGCACCGATCATGGAGCAAATAAATAACTCCGTGCTTCTGCACCGATATTTGCCTTGTCATATCGTGTGTGTTATCCAGGTGCAATAACAATTGCACAATACAGTCGACTCTCATTATAATTATTATAAAGAGCACTTTTATAAAGAGGTTCTGCTTATAAAGAGCAAATTCTGAGGTCCCAAATCTCAGGGTCTCTTTGTGTTTCTTTGTTTCGCTGTCCTTTCATAACAAAAAGAAGAGGTAATAAAGAGGTAATTTGGCTAGTCCCATCGACCTTGTTATAACGAGAGTCGACTGTATTCTTCCACATTACCGCCAGAACCATCTATGTACGTATATCTGTGTGCGGTGGTCGTAGAAAATACAAACTTTCAGGGTCGGCTCACTCGGTACGGTGCGTACAGTATGTACACGTACATCTGTATTAAGGGACTGACTGCATCCTACATGTACACATTGTATATTTACACCGTCCGATCAGATAGCGCTGTTTCCCTAATCCATAAAGACGTAATTCTTTCAAGACGTGTTCATTATATCGATTATCTTTCACCGACTGAACCTACCTGCATGTACAGTGGGGGATGGATTATTGAGCGTTCTAAATATCGATTGCCAGGAGTTACGCAACAGTAGTGAACGCTGACTCCCTTTATTGGCAATGGGACTTAATTGGCAGCGCACGGCATGTGCGGGAGCTTCAAAAATCTGTACGTGAAAGAAGTCAATGAAGTTGACTGACTAAACATGATTTCAAGCCTTAATACCCCTTTACCGTTGTCTGTACAGGAATGCACCGAACCCTAGTGTACCACCGTGCCGGACTAGGATATATATATAACTAGGTCTTTTTGTGTTAAAGCAATAGTACGTACTTCTATTTTATATTGAAGATTTAGAGTGTCATAAGGCAACTAACTTTTTTACCCCAACAATGTCCCAAAGTTGGACACGGTGCGTGATAAAGCCATACATGAAGCATTAAAGACCGTAAACATTTCGGGGATTATTGACAGGGCGCCCAAACACTAATTATATGACTGCTTGACAGTAGGGCTTTCCCGATTGTTTAACTGTAAGACAACACCAACAAAGAAAAATACAACTGCAGAAAGTGTATACATGATAACATTATTGCTTTATTGACGTCATTTCTCAATGAAACACTCGTGGGTTTTTTTAATTTGTTTTTAAATGTATTCTTTGCAATTAAATCATCAGTGATCTTAATGTAACGTTGACTAGTCTTTAATCGTCACTGTCTTCCTCGTTAACGTCATCTTCATCTAATTGATGGAACAGGCCGTCAAATTTGGCCTGGTGTTTAGATATGACCCGGCTGACAGCCGTGGGCAGTAGAATACCGGAATGAATGACTCTGTCTTCGATCTCGTCCACAATTTCTTGATGAGTATCATTATCTTTCAGATGTATGTAACTTGACAAAAAATCTTTGTATTTGTTGAAAAAGATTCGCTTGACTGCCCACAAGGCCTTTTCCGTGGCCTGATCTTCACTCATGCCCTCGTTGATGTACTTTTCATGTTTTTCACTCCACATCTCATCAATCGCTTCTTTTGCCTCTCCCAACCAGTCTAAATAGGCTGCATTGTCTTCCAAATCAGAACTAGACTCATCTTCATCCGATGATTCGTCATCTTCCACCTCCGTGACGGATTCGGAATCATTTTCCTCAAGATCTTCGTCTTCATCATACGTAGATTCAGTTTCATAGTTTTCCATTTCCGGATCTTCAAATCTACTGCTTTTAAATTCAGGTTCAGAATTATCCACCTCAACTTCGTCTATGTCGGATTCATCTTCAGCATGTGCATTTTCGGTATGTCTCAAGAGGTTATATCTCCGTCCAAAGCGTTTGTCACACTGGTGACAAGCATAGGGTTTGACTGCAGAAATAGTATTCATGTTGAAGCTTTGAAGGTTAATCTCCGAATGGTAAGGAACGGATGAAATCATTTAATATATATCTACTTATTTGGTTACTCATTTCGTTACTCATTTACTCATTTCGTTACTCATTTACTCAGTTCGTTACTCATTTACTCATTTCGTTACTCATTCACTCATTTGCTACTCATTTGATTACTCATTCACTCATTTGCTACTCATTTACTCAGTTCGTTACTCATTCACTCATTTGCTACTCATTCACTCATTTGCTACTTATTTGGTTACTCATTCACTCATTTGCTACTCATTTCGTTACACATTTGGTTACTCATTTCGTTACTCATTTACTCATTTCGTTACTCATTTAATCATTTCGTTACTCATTTACTCATTTCGTTACTCATCATTACTCATCATTTAATCAAATGAGTAAATGAGTAACGAAATGAGTAAATGAGTAACTCTATAAGTGCGTTAAAACATTGCCCCCATTCACAAAATTTGTTTTCCTCTAAATTTCTATACATAGCGGCTCTTGATAGACCGAGATTCATCATTAACTTCTCCCAAGGTCGCTCACACTCTCCATTTTTACCAGAGTAAAAACATTTTTTTCACAAGATTTCCAGCTAGTCGGCTTAATTGGCACTCTGTTGGTGTGGCCTGCATTTTGCTTTTATTATTCACTGTTTGCACACTGCTTTGAATGAATACATATGATAGTCTTGGTCATTTCAAACGTTTGACATTCATCTTTGTCCTCTACTCCAGTTCAAGTCTCCCTTTGTCCGCTATTCTGGTTCAGGTCTTCCTCTGTCCGCTATTCCATCTAGGGGATGGGCTGCCCCCCTTTGTCCAATATTTCAGTTCATGTTTTCCCCTTGTCCACTATTCCAGTTCCCGTCTTCCTCTGTCCAATATTCCATCTAGGGGATGGGTTTCCCCTTTGTCCAATACATTTTTTTAGACCCATCCCTTGTCCGATA